ATCTACAAATGAAAACTACAATGTCTGATATGTAAAATACTCTGGAGAAATGATTAGACATTGCAGGAAAAGGATTAGTAGGCTTAAAAATTTTCCCAATTGGTGAAAACTGTAGACTTACAAATTGAAGCAACTCAATGAATTCTAATCACAAGAAATGTAGAAATCTAAACAAAGACTGATCATAATCTAATTGCTTTAAAATAGTGATAAAGAATAAGTCAGCAGAGAAAGGAGACTATATAGAGAGGAACAAATGCAAAAATAAAAGTATTTCATGTTGAAACCAACATAACCTAGAAGACAGTTGAGCAAAATTCTTTTTCTTTTTTTTGAGATGGAGTCTCGCTCTGTCCCCCAGGCTGGAGTGTGCAGTGGCGCCATCTCGGCTCACTGCAAGCTCCACCTCCTGGGTTCATGCCATTCTCCTGCCTCAGCCTCCCGAGTAGCTGGGACTACAGGCGCCTGCCAACACGCCCAGGTGATTTTTTATGTTTCTGGTAGAGACAGGGTTTCACCATGTTAGCCAGGATGGTCTTGATCTCCTGACCTCATGGTCCGCCTGCCTCGGCCTCCCAAAGTGCTTGGATTACAGGCGTGAGCCATGGCGCCCGGCCTCAAAATTCTTATATAGTGCAGAAATGAAAAATATTACCTTGAATTCTGTATAATGTGAAAATACTTTTGTACGAAGGTGAAAATTTGTGGATGTCCAATTTTTTAGGCATCTAAAAGATGAGAGAATAGATTAATGCTTTTAAGAAATGTTAAGGTTCTTCAGACAAATGGAAAGTGATATCAGATGGAAATTTGGACCTACACAGGATATGGCTAATATGTGGGTAAATATATCTTATTATTTAAATTGCTTAAAACATGATTGAACAGGGCGTAGTGGCTCACACCTGTAATCTCAACACTTTGAGAGGCTGAGATGGGAGGATCACTTGAGCCCCGGAGTTTGAGATCAACCTGGACAATACAGTGAGGCCCTGTCTCTGCAAAAAAAATTTAAAAATTAGCCAGTGTAGTGATGCACACCTATAATCCTAGCTACTCAGGAGGCTGAGGTAGGAGGATCTCTTGAGCCTGGGAGGTCGAGGCTGCTATGAGCTGTGATTGCACCACTGCACTCCTGCCTGGGCAACAGAGCAAGACCCTGTCTTTTAAAAATAGTAAGATAGCCTGGGCTCAGTGGCTCATGCCTTGTAATCCCTTTGGGAGGCCAAGGTGGGTGGATCACTTGAAGTCAGGAGTTCAAGACCAGCCTGATCAACATGGTAAAACCCCGTCTCTACTAAAAATACAAATTCGCCGGGCCTGGTGACGTGTGCCTGTAATCCCAGCTACTTAGGAGACTGAGGCAGGAGAATTGCTTGAATCCGGGAGGCAGAGGTTGCAGTGAACTGAGATCATGCCACTGCACTCCACCCTGGGCGACACAGTGAGACTCTATCTCAAAAAATTAAAAAAATAATAATAATAACATTATTACTATCTTTCAGAGAAACTATGAGAAAAAAATGGTTTTGCTTCCATTAACTTTAATTCTGACTCTTCATTTCTTGTTTAGATACAAATTTCTGATTCTGTCCTATTGTTTCTCTCTCAAGAATTTTCTTTAACATTTCTTATAAAGAAGATCTGCTAGTAACAAATGCTCTCAGTTTTTACCTGTTGAGAAGTCTGTATTTCTTTTTTATTTCTTTTGGTAACAACTTTGTATATAATTCACATTCCGTCCAATTCACTCATTTAAAGTGTAAAATTCAGTGGTTTTTAACGTAGTCACAATGGTATGAAACCTTCAGCACAGTCAATTTTAGCACATTTTCATCACACCAGCATGAAAGCCTACAGCCTTTGGCCACCTCCTGCCACCCTTCAATTTAGGAAACAATTTACTTTCAGTCTCTATAAATTAGCCCACATTGGAAATTTTATATGAGAAGAAATGTCACATAGTAGGAATCATAAATACGTGGTCTTTTGTACCAGCTTCATTCACTTGGAATAGTGTTCAAGGTTGATCTATGTTATAGCTTGTATCAGATCTTCATTTCCTTATATTACCAAATAATAGTCCACTGTGTAGATATGCCACATTTTACTTATCTACTTATGAAATGAAGAACAATTGGGGTTTTTCTTTTCCAGTTTTTGGCTATCATGAATCATGCTGCTGTAAATATTTGCGTATAAGCTTTGTGAGAACATATGGTTTTAATTTGTCATGAGAATATACCTAGGACTAAAACTGCTACATTGTATGGTAACTGTATTCTTCTGAGGAACTGGCAGACTGTTTATACAATAGCTCTACCATTTTCCAGTGCCACCATCAATATATGTAGGGTTCTATTTCTCCAAATCCTATCCAAATTTTGTTATTGTGTATTTATTTGATTTTAGTCATCCTAAGTAGTATGAGTTGATATTTCATTGGTGTTTTGGGGGTTTTGATTTACATAGTCTTTTTTCTTTGTTTCCCAGGCTGGTTTCAAACTCCTAGGCTCAAGCAATCCTCCTGCCTCGACCTCCCAAAGTGCTGAGATTACATGCATGAGCCACTGCTCCTGACTGATTTGCATATTCTTGATGATTAATATAGAACATGTTTTCAAGTATTTAGTAGCCGTGTGTATACTTTTTTTTTTTGAGAAATACTTATTTAATTACTTTGCCCATTTTTGTTGGGCTTTTTATTATTGAGTTGCAAGACTTCTTTGTATATTCTAGATACAAATCCCTTATTGAATACATAGTTTACAAACAATTTTTCTCATTCTTTGGGTAGCTTCTCACATTCTTGGTGGATTTTGAAGCACAATGTTTTACAATTTATGTCCAATTTCCTTTTTTGATGTTGTTGCTTGTGATTCTGATGTCACAGTTAAGAAACAATTGCTGACTATAGAGTCCAGAAGATCTATGCCTACATTTCCTTCTAAACGTTCTACTGTTTTAAGTCTTACGCTTACACTTAGGTGTTTGATCCATTTTGAGTTGATTTTGTTTATGGTGAGAGGCAGGGAACTCAATTCATTATTTTCTGTGTGCATCTCTAGTTCCAGTCTTTGTTGAAAAGACTACTCTTCCCTTCCTTAAATTGCCTTGGTATCCTTGTTGAAAATAACATGTGGAGCCGGACACAGTGGCTCGCGCCTACAATCCCAGCACTTTGGGAGGCCGAGACGGGAGGATCACCTGATGTCGGGAGTTCAAGACCAGCCTGACCAACATGGTAAAACCCCGTCTCTACTGAAAATACAAAATTAGCCGGGCGTGGTGGCGCATGCCTGTAATTCCAGCTACTCAGGAGGCTGAGGCAGGAGAATCACTTGAACCTGGGAGGTGGAGGTTGCGGTGAGCCAAGATCGCGCCAGAGCAAAACTCCATCTCAAAAAAAAAAAGAAAAAAAAAGAAAAAGAAAATAATATGTGGAATCAATTTAATCCATTGATCTATGTGTGGTATTTCTGAGGGATTACTCAGGAGATTCAGGAGCAACAAATTTAAGAACTAATTAAGAGAAGAAATAAGTGATCAATAAGTTCTTAGACTGTAACTTTAATAGTTTTTTTTCCTTGACTATTTGTATTTTTGAATGGTGAATTTTTAGTTTTTGTTCCTTTTCCTCTTAGAGTACAGACGAATATTTTTTATTTTTAAAATTAATTTTATTCATTTTTTTGAGACAAGGTCTTGCTCTGTTGCTCAGGCTAGAGTGCGGCGACACTATCATACCTCACTGAAGCCTGAACTCCCAGGCTCAACTGATCCTTCTACCTTTGCCTTTGGAGTAGCTGGGACCACAGGCGTATGCCACCACACCAGGCTAACGTTTGTTTTTGGTAGAGTTTGGGAGGAGAAGAGGGGTGTCTCACTATGTTTCTTAGGCTGGTCTTGAACTTCTGGCCTCAACCGATCCTCCTGCCTTGGCCTCCGAAAATGCTGGGATTAAATGCGTGAGCCACCATGCCCGGCCTGTATTCATCAATATTTTATTAAGCCAAAGAAACAGGAAATCCGGACTATTATCTATTTGTCCGTTTTAGCTGTTGTAAATATTTCCCCAAAATGTACTTACCTAAAAATTTTTCTTATATTCATTTTTTTACCATTTGGAAATTTTGGATGCTTATAAGTTACTATCAAGATTTACAAAGTATTACATGAAGATTCAAAAAATTTTTTTTAATTTCTTATTTTACGTTTAAGAAGCCTATCCCAGAACAAAAATAATAAAACTATTTAGCAGTTATTTCTTCAGATGATTTTTTAGTCAAGTTTTTAGTCAAATGTATTCGTGTCCAAAGATGAAGAACATAATAATGTCATGTATTGAAAAATGTGATGGAACTTCAAATCCCTCGTATAGGACGTGAGTCCATTTACCTAGCACTTGATGAGACAAGCTGGGCCTGTCGAGTGGTATTAAAAGTCCCGGTCTCAAGTGTTACCAAGGAGGCCGGCGCCATCTCAGGGACCATGACGGTTTCGGCGCCCCACCCTGAGGAGCTCACACCCATCCAGCAGGTGATCCCTTCCGAGGCTACCTGGATCGCTTTCCACTCAGACTCGCCTCCTACTGGCCCTGAGAACGCACTAACTCCACCCTAAACCTCATGTCAGGGGCCCCAGTAGCGGCGGATCTGCGCATGCGCACTCCTAGGCAAGGCGGCCACTCCCAGAAGTCTCCGGGGCTCGGGCGTTGGGAGGGGCGCGCCATCCCAGTGGTCACCGCCGTATTTCTCGTAGGTTTTTAGGACTCTGGACCCCACTTCTCACCCGTGCCTGCAGTCCTGACAGTTCTGGCCTGGACTACATATTCCACAGGCAACGGAGAAAACTCCGACCCTTGGCTCCGGTTCCGGGACCTCTGGCTCTGCGCTGCGCGAGACTTTGTTTCACCTGAAGAAGGCGGCGCAGGTCACTGCGGGAGCCTCTGCAGCCCCAGCCCGCCGCCCGCGTGGGACCCTGCGTGGCGGTGAGAGTGGAGGCCTCGGGCGCAGGCCGAGGTTTTCTCCCGCCTCCTCAGGCCCTAGGGTGCTGGAGATGCGGAGGAGGGGCCCGTCTCTAGGAGACGGGCGGGGAGCGTGAGAGACCGCGCAGCGGCGACAGGACCGGCGTGTCTGTGTGACGCGGGTGCAGTTGTGGGACTGTGAGGGGTGCGTGGTCGACCTTATGTTACCTGGACATGCCGTGCGTGTCCTTTGCAAAGCGTGCTTCGCAGGGTTCTGTGGGGTCTACTGACTCTTGGCTCCAGGTTCCCTGCTGCTTCCTGTGCCTTCTTCTCAGCCTAGTACGACTACAACAGAGAAATGGTTCTAGTGGGAAATCAGATACTGAGTCTTAGATGAAGATTTCCAGTGAGAAGAAGCAGATAGGATGGGAAGCTTAGAGGAGTAACTGCCCTTAAGACAGGTATGATAGATGCTGTTAAATAAAAAATTATTCGGTGACACTTATTAAAGCATGCAAATAAGCCTTTATTCAGGACCATCGTGATAGGTATTGGGATCCCGGCTGTGGGATTTTGCAGTGGGTAAGAAACACTGGGCTCAACTCCGAATTCAGCATGAACAAGTGGGAATTTATAGCCAAGAAGGTTAGGGATCACTGGATGAGAAATTAGTAAGAGGAAATGTCTGGGTTAAGGAAGATTCTGACTAAACGCAGATAAAAGGATTATTTCTGGAGAGAGAGAGACCTGGGTCATAAGACTTTATCACCTGGGGGACGGTGGAGGATGAAGATACAGAGGCGAAGGGGTCTTGCTAAACTGACTTAGAATAGTTCTTTGCTATAGCCAGATTTTACAGTGAAGTGTACAGATGGACCTAGCTGAAGATGTAATAGCCTGACTAAAGTTTGGCAGAGTTTGTCAGTTTCGAGTGTAGGATTCCCTCCTGAAAAGGGTTGTTACTCCGCCCCCATCTCCCGGTTCTTGGAGTTTCATTTACATGTTTAACAGACACCGCCTTCTTGAATTCTGACCCTAAGAACCTGCAGTGAAGGATGATTGCAGATTCCATCCAACATACTTCCTTCTGGTTATGTGTATGAAATTATGCGCCTGTAGTCTTGGAGGGGGCAAACGTAAGCGCTAAGTATTATGAGGCAATTTTGGATATTCCGTTTTGGATTTCTGTAGATCAAAAGCAACAAGAATATGAACTTAACTGTGTTGTGAAGGAAGTGAGCCAGAATTTAAGTTTTCCAAAGTAGGAATTCTCAGTTATTGGCGTACTGTCTGTAGACCAATGCCCTTATGGGCATAAGGGACATCACAAACCTGTAATCCCAGCTAGCTACTCTGGAGGCTGAGGCAGGAGAACCGCTTGAAACCGGAAGGCAGAGGTTGCAGTGAGTCGAGATCACGCTACTACACTCCAACCTGGGCAAAAGAGCAAAACTTTGTCTCAAAAAAAAAAAAAAAAAAAAAAAATCAGACTTTTATTAAGTGCTTCTAGTATGCCACACTTGAAAATTGTAGCATTTGAAATGGGACAATCACTGAAAAGATAGAGTTGCTTCCTTTGAAATATAATCTATGAAGGCAAATCAAATCTGAATAGGAGGAAGTTTAAGGCAGTATGTGATAGAGTCAATTTGGAGAGATTTAGGTGACCTATGTGGTGATGTCACATAACAAAGACATCAGTCTGACTATAGCAATAGTCAGGCTATGAACAAATTATACTGAGTGTATGGGCTGTGTATGGTGATAAACAGGTTTATGCTATATCTTTTAAACCTTGTAGTTTTCACTGTATTGATATTGGATGGAAAGCAAAATTAATTGCATGAGGAAATTCAGCAGCTATCTGGAGGATATCCTGACCTACCTGCCAGATTTAGGAAAAAAATAAACCCTTCTGTTAAGAAGACCTGAAATAAAGCTGTATTGAGGCCATCATCCATTCACAGAGAAGATTACTCAGGGACAGTTCCCCATGCTGTTGGAGACACAATTCTAACATATCTAAGAACCAGTGATGAAGTGAGTTTAGGTTTGGCGACCCAAAAAAACCCACAGAAGATAAGCCATTCAGTAAAATGATTTTAAATTTAGAGAAAACATAATTTTGTTGAAATTCCCACCTTAACAAATTGGAAACACATACACGTTTCAAGTTAATATGTCCATGCTTACAATAATTATGAAGGAAACATTAATAATGAAAAAATCAAGAGCCACACAAAAGTATAGGGAATGCTATTTATCAAACTCTGATTTTGGGAAGTTGCTAAGCAAAGGTTTATTTACTTTTCCTTTAGCTTTATTTAGTTGTTTCATGTATTGAGCCAAAATGGAATACGAAGTGAGATATAAGCACTATAACTATAAGCACTTTTTTGTTTCTTGGAGACAGAGTCTCGCTCTGTCACCTGGGCTGGAGTTCAGTAGCACAATCATGGTTCACTGCAACCTTGAACTCCTGGGCTCAAGTGATCCTCTCGCCTCAGCCTCCCGGGTAGCTGGGACTACAGGTGCATGCCACCTTGCCTATTTTATGATTATCTGTCTGTCAGCCTCTCTCTCTGTATTGATGGATATGTATTTATATATTTTACAAAAATAAACGTATTGGTCAGTGTGATCTTTCTGTTGACATTGTTTCTGGTATTTTTCATGTCCTTGAATTTTTCTCAGTTTCACATTTAATGACTACTTTGTATTCTAGGACAGTGATAGTCTGTTATATATTTAACTAGGAAGCTTTGCTAGGCTCAGAACGCTGAACAGTCACTATCTGTCTCCAATATCTCGACCAATTTCACCCAATTTCAAGACTAAAAAGAGGTTCTGATATGGATGATGTGCCCTGTTTTTACCCTTAAAGGAGGGAATGGAAAGAGGTAGGTCTGCTCAAAGCAGGACAGAGCTGCCTAATCTGAGGTCCACATCTGCCTCCCCAACATCATACACTGGCCAGAACATTTCCCACTGAATTATCTGGGTCTGGTTTCCATGACAGTATGTTTCTGATGTATGACTCTGTGTAGGTGAGACCCTTGGGTAGTCAGGGAGGAAATGGGTTTATCCAGAATCTTAATCTTCCCAAATTGTATGTAAGAGGAGGTAGTTTGGAACTTGGAATGGAAGAGGAAAACAGCACTATTACCTTGAGTCCTATGGGGAACACTGAAGCACAACTGGTCTCAAGGTCTTCTCTTCTTTCAGGTCTTGGTTTTTTGACTTTGCTCTTCTGGTAGAGAAACCCTGAGGACTGATCAACTCTTGCCAGTCTCAAACCATGGCCTGTGTAAGTTGATATTTCTCGCCATGTTGATGTGTGTGTGTGATTTTTTAGGTCATGTACGTCTTTTCATCATTTTTTCTGAAGTTACCTTCATGAGAGGGTGCTCAGTTAACCTAATCCCCAGTTCTCATTCTTCCCGTAAAATATATACCATGTCACCCAGCATCCTCGCTAGGTGGGCCACTGCAAATTCACTAGCGTTCGTGTTGTTATTGATCAAATTACTCAATGTCCTCTAGGTGCCCATTCTTCTATTTTGGGCAGTGATAGAGAGGAAAGGAGTCAAGTTCTTTGAGTACAGATACACGCATTTCAGGCCGGTTTTGTCATTTGTTGCAATTGAGACAACAGTTCCATTTGACCATCCATGGGAAGTCTTTGAAATTTTCCAGACATTTGAGTTTTTCAGCTAGATAAGGTGGAAATTGGCACTGAAGGATCTAAATCTTCAGGTAGGATAAAATCTCATGCTCCGTGTGATTCTTCGTGTGATTAGTCTATTGAATTGGAACTTGTAAAAACAGAAGTCGTGGATCTGGATAAAAAGTCCTGAAAAACAAATACCATAAAACAATGATGTCATGATAAAATCCTTTGTCAAAACAAACAAAAATGCTCATGGTGAGATTTGACGTAATGAAGTACTTGATGCTTGAAGAGATTATTAATTTTAAGGAAACCTAGTTTTCTGGAGTCAGACACGCGAGTCAGATGCACTACTGTTGCACCACGAGGTCACAGGAAACCTAGTTTTCTAAAATTGAGAATCTGTACCATGTTTTGCATAAAACATCTCTCAATTAAAAATTTAAATTCTCTTCCAAGTCAAAATATTCCTCAGTTAACATACATTGATTGAGAATTTATGAGGCAGATACCACCAGGGCGTTATGTGCATAATAATGATTTAGTTTAATAGAAAACTAAATTATTTTGTCATTTTCAAAAGGGTCAGATACCTAAGAAGTGTCCCAGAACAGGCAGAAAGTTTTGTCTGTGTTTCAAGCTTCTTCAAAAATATGCGTAAATTCTACTTCATTCCCTTCCCTGATAGCATATATTTCTGGTCTGTGTGCTGGTTATCTTGCTCTTCTGCTGCAATGCAGTCCTTCATCTCCTCCACTCCATTTTCATTTTTCTTTTCTTTTTTCTTTTCTTTTTTTTTTTTTTTTTTTGAGACGGAGTTTCACTCTTGTTGCCCAGGCTGGAGTGCAATGGCACATTCTCAGCTCACCGCAACCTCCGCCTCCCA